ATAGGTTATTTACAGAACTGTGTGTGAGAAAGTTTGTTGAAAGAATGTAAACATCAGAAGGCTTAACAAAGTCTTACAAAATCAGGGCGACAGCCCAACATTTAAAAAGCTCAAGCCAAGGTGCTGCTACGACAATTCCAGCACTGCCATACAAGCACATACACATTAAAATACCAGGCTTGGAGAGCAATAAAGCAGTAGCTGGGCTCTCAGCATCTTAGTCTCCAGTATTTCTTCCAGTTCCACTCCAAACTGGTTTACAAACACAGGAAACAGCTCAGGGCTGTACTCACACCGGTTAGGTCAGCTTGTACCCATAGTCTCACTCCATTACTTGCATCTCTTCCAAAGGACAGAATGAGTCTTTGTAAGACTCTCAATGGCCCATCCCACACTTAGTCAGAATTTAGTTTGTCCTTGGGTAAATGGACAGGATCTGAAACTTCTCCTACATTTAATATGCACATCCTGTAGCCAAATTTTTGAAACTTTCCAACTCTTCACCCTTTCTTCCTCCAAGGCTTTCAAATTGCCTCAGCTAGCTCATAAGCACTTACTCCTCTTGGCTTGTACCGTGTGAACATGTGGTTGAAAGATTAATCATTCAGACCTTGATCTATTTTTACAAAACACTATATTTAACTATTTTAAGTTTCCTACATTTAGATGTACTAGTCCAGGACTCAGTCTCTGCATTATCTGGTAAGGCAAGAGTTCAACACACCTCCCCCTCCCCTGCCCCAATAATTACTTTGGTTTTGACAACATTAACTACCAGAAGGGTGAAGACTGAAATGGTCCATGAACCACTGTGTTGTTGCATGTGCCCGCAAAATCCAGGATGTGAGCCTTCTTTATGTTTGGATAACCACACATTCCTCAACAGAAGACAGACTGTCTTTACTCCTAAAACCCTACCTATCAGAATTACTATGAAAGGATAAAAAAAGAACTGCCATCAACCCTCTGATTCTACTGCAACACAAATCTCTTTGTGTATCCATCTTAACACACAGTGAAAAGATCTATTTATCCACCCAAGAAAATGCAATTTAGAAACACGAAAATTATCAAATTCTCTCTTTTATTGATTTCCACATGACTAGAGACCCATTTTAACGGTAAGACTTCTGGTAGCGTGCACGAGCACCAGGTCCTCCAAATTTCTTAGATTCACAACGGCGTGGATCTGCAACAAGCAGAGTCCTATCATACTGGATTAGAATATCCTTGATCTCTTTCTTGGAAGCTTCATCAACATCTGCACAAAAAAGAAAGAAAAATCTTTAGTTCAAGCAGTTTTACACGGAACAAATCCTTATTAATACTTTTTTCAATTAAAAAAAAAACCAAAAGCCATAGACTTCCACTTAAAGCTAATTAAATAATCAAAGTTACTTACATTTTTGATAGTAAGCCACCAAAGCTTTGGAAATAGCTTGACGGATAGCTGTTAAACAAAGATAAAAGATCAGTAACGACTGCAAATCTATGCAAAATTTAAACACAAAGTGCCAGTTATCTGAGAAATGTGCGATTTTGTTCACTGCCAAATTGTCCTTTCTCTCCTTAATATCCCCTCCCACACAGTCCACGTGACCCTTACTTTGGCAAATCTTAAGAAATCTGTGCCAAGAGGCCACCCACAGTTCATTTGTCGATTTGACAGCTGCCAGCTAGTCAAGAAATTGCACGAGGCTGTCTGATCACCTTCTCTCCCAAGTACTAATGTAGGTTCATCTTCTATCTACAAGCAGTCAACTTTCAAAACCATCAGAAACACAGTTCTCTGAAATGTCTATACTTTTCAACAAAGATAAAATTGATTGTGTGTTGAAAGACTTAAGGATGCAAAAGGGACAACAGGATGGTCTGAGCGCTAGAACGTGGCAACACAAACAAACTAGCATAGTAACAGTAATCAGAACTCAAACCAGGAGAGTGGCAGTAACTGTCAGGATGTTGTTACTCTTATCTGTCAAAATATTAACATCAGGATTTTGATGAAAATATGAATGCTCTGAAAAACAAATCGTATTTATATTGACTTTGGGCCTGAAATTTGCCATTTTATGCAGCCTCAGCTCCACTTCAAACCAACTACATTCAAATTAAGAGCAGAACAAATCTATCTGTTGTAAAGATGAACTCTTAAGATCAGCTAATGCAAATATATTCCCAGCCCTCCCTGCAAAGAGAAAACTGCCTAGCTTTGCTCATACTGGAAAGATGCTTCTGAGCAACATGGAAATATACAACTAAGGATATAATTTCTAAATTAATGCTAAACCCCTCCCAAAATCCTTGTGCTCAGCTGCATATAAACTATCCTGTCACTTCACAATGTAAGGGTAGTTCCCATGCATTTCGTCAAAACTTCATTTGGCTTCCCTCAGCTTGCTCTGTTGCAGCTTTTATGTTTTATGTGTTGCAGCACATAAAACAGAATCTACTACATTTGCACAGTGGAGAAAGGACAGTTTGGCAAGTCATTGTTCCAAACTTAAGCCTATTTAATACGTGGCCACATTGGGTCTGGCTGAGATGATTCTCCTGTGACAGCTCTCATCTGGTTTGTGTTCTGGCTACAGCCGAGCAGTGCTCACACAGCATCAAGGCTGTACCTACAAGGTACCTCCATCACCATTAGGCTGGGAGTGGGCAAGATCTTGAGGGAACATAGCCAGGACAGCTAATATCCAAACTGACCAGAGGGGATATTCCATACCAGAGGATGTCTGCTCAGCAGTAAAAGCGAAGCAAGAGCAACTGCTATAGGTATTGAGGCCCCACTTCCCAGGAAGTGTCTGAACATTGCCTGCTAATGGAAGCCTTTAGTCTTTCCTTTGCTTCAGTACACAGGCTTTATTTTTGCTTTATTAATGTGCATTCATCTTGACCCACAAGCTTTTTCAATCTTATTTTCTCGCTCTCCCCATCAAGATAAAGAGAGGAGTGATATAGCAGCTTGGGGTCATCAGGCATCCAGCCAGTATCAACCCACCACAATGGCTTCACCCATACCAGCCCAGCCCAGCAACCTTACCATAGATTTGTGCTACGTGGCCACCGCCCTTCACACGGACTCTGATGTCAACACCAGCAAACCGCTCCTTCCCCAGGAGGAGGACAGGTTCAAGCAGCTGGGAAATGAAACATGAAGAAAATTCATTTGTAGTGAGGATCAGAGCTTGTAGTTGCTTTACCAAACGTGATGTTATTGAATCTTGTGAATAATGGAGCCTTGATTTTAGAAGCACACACCCAGGTCAAGTACACCTCCTGCAGAGTTCTCTGACATCTACTAGTGCTATCACAAGACATATTTACTGAAGTCTTTGGTTTATTTAAGTTTCAAATATCTTACTGGCAAAGCACATGTACGTGGGAATTAAGAACAAGAGAACAGTTTAACTAGAACGCCATAATTACACACAAAAATTAAGTCAAGTTCATTAAAACTGAAAACCCGAAGTAGTTTGTAGGCAGTTTTCTACACTATTTATTACACTTTATAATTATCTAAACAGATTCAGATTCTGTCAGCATTGTTCAGGAGCTACTGTATAAAGTTCTAAATAACCTTTTTAAAATGAGGGCTTTAATTCACCCATTTCAGTTGAGAAAGTGGATAGGAAGTGCAAAAATACTTCACATTAAGTGAAACCTGTTAAGCAAACGCACCCCCCCCCTCCCCCCCATCACAGAAGTGCAGTTTACCGAATTTTCATAACAGCATTTGTGTTTTAGGTAAACAATCAAAAACCTGGAAGTAATACATGTATAAAGGGCAAGCAGGCAGAGGCTGGGTGGATGCTTACTTTATACTGCAGAGTTCTGGGCTCAATCATTTCCAGAGGTCTTCCATTAACCTTAATGAGGCCATTCCCTCTCTTGCAGTGGGCAACAGCTGTTGCAGTTTTCTAAAAATCCAAAGGTGTATTAACACAGCGTTTTATCTTTTGCACAAGCAGCAGGAACTTCAATTTCATTTTAACAATCGAGCACTCCTAGTCTTATGCCCCAGACTAACAATATGCACTAAACGAAACAGTATCTCTCCCCACACCTCCAGGTAATCACAGTGTTAAAAGAGAACCTTAATGGAAGTTTCAGCGTTTGATTTACTGAGTTACAAGACTTAGCTGCACACGAAGGAAAGACAGTCCACAGCACCGTAGTTTTGTGGCTCGTTTTCTCACAAGAGATTGGTACCGTGAATTATTCGAGACGCTGCATTCCCTCCAGCAGGGTGAACTTTACCTTCCCGCCACCACCTCACAACGTGCTGCTCCGATACCAGCAACGGTAAGCCAGGTCGCTGCGGACCGGGGCGGCAGCGGCGGCCACTCCGGAAGATTCCGGCGAGAGGCCGCCCAGAGCCACCTCCGAGGGGAGCAAACCTTTCCTTGCCCCCAGCTCCGCAGCGCACCAGGGACACGGCGCTGCGGCAACCACCGAGCGGGACACGTGCGCTGCGCGGCCGGACTCCCGCCGCCGGCCCTCCCGCGGCCGGGCCCCGCCGAGGGGCTGCGGCCGAGACACGCCGAGCGCGAACGGCCCCAAGGCGCCACGGGCCAGCCCGGCAGCGAGGAGCAGATGGTGCAGGCCGCCACGCCCGCGCCTCACCTTTCGCCCGAAGACCTGGACGCTCTGCAGGGGACCCTTGGCCGGCATGGCTGCTCCTGCAAGAGAGAGGGAGCGGCGTGAGCGCGGGCCGGGGGGCGCGGGCGGGCGGGCGCGGCCGGAGCGCCCCGACACTCACCCGTCCTCGGCGGCGGCTCCGCGGAAAGGCCGCACGGGGCTTCCGGGCCTCGGATCAGGGGCGCCGCGCCGTAAAGCACAACGCCATCACTTCCGGCAGTGCGACAGAGAGTAAGGCCGCCTCCGCCCGCCTGGCGCGCTTTGCGGCAGGCGGAGCGCGCTGCGCGGGCAGGGCCCGGCCCGGGCGGGGGCGCGGCCGCGGAGAGCGGAGCGGAGAGCAGCCGGGAGTGGCGGGGGGAGAGCCGGGGCAGCCTGCCACGGGGCCCTCCGCTGCTGACACCGCAGCGCACTTTGCTGGGCCCCTGTCACAAAGCAGAACCTAGGTGGGCTTCTGCTGTAAGGAGAGCAAAACGATGCCGTGCCCGAAAGTCTTGCAGTCGGTCTTTGAACCTCCTAGAGATGCAGCAATATAAACTCCATGGCTTGTATAACTTTGAACTCTGGTAAGCTGGAGAAGATGAAGCAGTAAGCCTTGTATTCGCTTCTAGCACTGTACACTGACACGTATTCAGAAAATGGCTTCTAGCCAATTAAATACTCCGGGATGGTTACATTTAAGATCAGTTCAGAGTTCTCTTTAGATTTAGTGCACTCAGGGAACCCCATCAAATTTATCTTCCGTCTCCGTTTATTTCTTGTTTAATATCTGTCATAAAGCATGGAATTTAAGTCACTTTCATACTGAAAATATTTTACTTCTAATATGGTAGTATTTAGAATGCAAAAATTTCCAGAAGGACAGAAGGAGAATCTGTTGATGAAGCGAGGTCACGCTTCTTAGACATTTTAAATGATAGAGATTTAAATTACTATGATGGTTAGAAAGTTGACTGCTCAAATGAAACAATCGGTTCCTTTGTCTTTGGACAGGATTTTAAATACTGAACATTAGTCATCGGTCATGTGAGGATTTAAACAAGCACTTAGCTTTATGCAATTTGAGTGATTAGTTCTGTTCAAGTGAATAGGACTGTGCAGAACGTGTAAGATTTAGCACATCTCAAACCCTCAATTGTACAAAGCTTTAACATGTGATCCAAACAGTGATTTCTTTTTTAAGGCCGTTTCCTAAGGAGCAGTGTTTGTGCAGTCACACGTGTCTATCATGGGAGGAAGGGGAACGGTCAGCTCCCTGTTGGCCAATTTCAGTTAGTTCTTGAAGATGAGGGGAAATTTCAGAAGCAATACAGGTTTTACGTGTTTGGTGAAAGTAGGTGGCTCAGCACCAGAGAGATCTGTAACTTGTGCAATGAAAGCAGCTGCAGGAGCTGGAATATTGAGACATTATAAAACCTTTATTTAGGTGAAAAAGAGAAAACATAATACCTGATTAACCCAGATAGACAAAAAGGTTCAGCCAATACTTCTGATCAACCCAAAGGTGAGCCATTAGTAATTCAGTTTTGTTGGGTGTCCAGAGAACTTTCAAAGAAAAAGCAACTCTAAATCTATTTCCTATGTGGACATTATCTAAGGTCTGCTACTGAAGACCTGTGTTTTAATATTAAGTATACCATTAAACAGGTATTTTTAACATCTATAAAACTTGTATTTTGGGAGCATGCTTTCTTAGGTCCTTTAAAATTCATGCTCATTTGAGTGTTCATCTGCTGCATGATCTTCCTGGAACTGGAAGCAATCATCCTAGAGGAGCCTGTGTGAAAGCCAGGGATATGCCTACATACATGTATCTTTCTGCCTTAGTTAGCAAAAGAAGATAATAACCAACATATAGTGATCAGTTTGCCTGGAAGATAAGGTTAAAGGCTTTGTGCTGCTTGCTCCCATTGCTTTCTAGCATAAAAACAGGAATAAGAGCTGAGAGGTTGTAGGCTGTGTAACATTGTAAGAGTTAATTGGAACATGAATAGCACAAAACAAGGGGAAAAAAAACCCTCGGGTAAGATCCTGTACTTTTACAAAAAGTACCAGCACTAACAATATCCCTATTTAGTTTTCCTGAGCACAAAGTACTTTAAAATGGTTATATAGCTCAGATTTCAAAAGGAATACATGGTAAGAATCTGCAAGCACCACCTACAAACTCTTGTGTTCACTTCATTTTTATTTGTGAAATAATTGCACCTGTGGAATGTAAGGCATTTGTTTGGTGGCCTTCTTTTTTTTTTTTTTTTTTTGTTAACCTGATTTTGCACCAGTGTGAGGACTCCTATAGTGAATAATCAGACCCAGAGAAATTAAAGCATGTTTGCTGGTAAACCACTCTCAGCAAAAAGAGCATTTCATAAAAAGCTGACAGGTTTGTACTCACGTACATATAGGGCATTTTATTATTTCCTATTAGAAGGAAAACCATTTGGATTTTACTGAAATGTAAGTACTTTATTTCACAGTCATTCTACTAATTCTACATGGATTATGTGTATCTTTGTAGCAACAAGATTCTTACAACTACTAAATCTTATGTGGGCATTTATTGAGGCTTTAAGCCTCACTAGCTGACCTCCTGCACTGGGGCTGCTTTGGCCCCATTGCAGGCTGTGATGTAAGGTGCTGCTGTGACCTGCTCATCTCCCACAGTCTTCTGGAAACAGTGAGGGTATGGCAGCAGGATGTAGCGCTGTAAGGAATGTCTCTGACAGCATCTCCAGTTGTTTATTCACTTTGTGACAGGAGCACAAAGCTTGTGTATATAAATGGCTCTGCAGGGAGGAGGGCTGGAAGGGAATGGCAGAGGTGGACAGAGGTGAGATGAGCAGAGCCAGTGGGTTGGGCTGAGGAGAGCAGCAATGAATCTTTCTTTGGAAATTTGCCAGTGTGGAGCATAGTACCACACTGCAGTCCAAAACCTGCAGGACAGAACGTGTGTGTCAGGCCACTGCCCACCAACACTGTCAGGCTGATGCAGTGCAGCCCATGAATTTTAAATTTAAACGTCTTTGTTACTTGAATGCTCACAATTTATTTGGCAACACAGGAGTCAAATATATTGAAGATTTTTGTGACTTATATGCTTGTGTGGGGTTTGTTTTTTTCTGGGATTTTATGTAGTTTGGAATTTAAAACAGCAAGTGACTGGAATTCCATGTGAAATCATGATGTTGGTTCTCCACTCAGATCTTGTCCTCTTTGAAAGGAAAGTCAAATTCCATTTGAATTCAAGTTCAGAAGGTAAACATTCAAAGAGGACAGCATTTGAGCTTCAGCTTAGCACGGAATTATGCAGCTGCCAGGAGTGTAAGGCAACAGAGAGTCAAGGTCAGTATGTTAACAAGGCCAGCTGTAATGTGGCTCTAAATTTCCTCCTGTTTAAAGAGGAGAGAAAATGCTCTCAGTGGAAAAATAATGGGAGAAATAGTGAGATTATCTTCCTCATGTATTATTTAAAACATTAATGGAAAGGTAAGAGCTATGGCAAAATACAATCAGTTACTTCTACATATATTGTCATAGGAAATAAAATTATTTTGAAAGTAAAGGAACATTTAGGGGAAATAGAAAGAAACATTCTTCTACATAGTCCATAATAACATTTTAAAAGATCCACGCCTTCTACCAAAATGTCCCAATTTGCAATTGATTGTACTTTGTAGGATTTTGTGTGTTTTTTTTAGCAGAGTGGATAGTTTTAACTAGTGAACAGATTTGTTCAGATTTCATGCATGATAAACAAGGCAAATTTTCTAAAGTTTTTACTTCAGACAGCAAAATCATCTCTTCAGAAGGCAGTGTTGGTCTTGTACAGTTTTGTATCTTTTGAAAATTAGTGGATTCCTTCACTAGGAAGTATGAATTATTTCAGGAAGGAAGATACTGACATCCCTTTTTGATGGCAGATTTTATAATCTGAGAGGTCTGGGATAGCAGAATATAGTTCTCATATTACAGTTTGCAACTGATGCATGTTTGATGATAAAGTGCAATTAGCTAATGGTTCCCATTATTTCTGAGGCTTGCTTTTCACGGATTGTATTCATCCAGGCAGCAGCTGAAGAGTTTTCTAAACTCAATTAGTGCAAGAATGCTGTGGCCAATGGAAAAATGTTTGATGCATGCCAGAAAACAAATCTTCCCAGCTCTTGGAAATATGTTCTGAAAACAAATATGGATCACACAAGATTTTCGTAGCAATAAATATTTTTTCCCTAAAATATATTTAAAACCTGAAGCAAAATTTTTGGTTTAATTACTCTTCTCAAATGAAGCTCTGTAGCATAAGCTCTGGAACATAAGGGTGTGGGTTATCCTGATTGGTGTGAATACTCTCCCATTTGCAGGTTAAAAATGTTAATGTTGCATTGAGATTGAGAACATGAGACGATTTGTAATGTAGAAATTGACACAGTGATAGGCTTATTCACACTGAAATTCAATGCATGTAAATAATTAGCAATACAATAGTTTACTTAGGACCAAGCTTAGCATTGCTGCTTGGGAAAAATCACAATTAATGATTGTCTTAACTTTCATTTTGAATGAATAGGCTAGGTCTTTCAGTTCAATAAACAGTAGAAATACAAAGCCCATCTTGTGTCTGAACATACAGACAAAAGATTAAGGCTTATTGTTTTACCTCTGTTACCTGAGTGGTTGCTGAAATCTGAAAAAAGTTGTGACTTAAATTTGCAACATGAATCCTATTTACAATGGCTGGAAATGTGTATAAACAGTTAACCTACTAACTTTCCAGATGGAAAGGTATGGCTCATTTTAGAATCTGTCTATATGACCGAAAACTAAAATTGAATGATCTAGGATTTAGACTTGGAATATACGGTCAATCTCTCCTTTAGTGAAATCTATGACAGCAAATTAGAATTACTTAAGACTCTTCTCTGCATTCACAGAAGCTGCTTTTGAGTATGTGTGCGTGAGCTCACACACTCACACTTTTGTATGTCAACAGGAATCAAAGCTGCAAGGAGCTGACCTGGCAACAGCCCAGTACCCCCAAGCTATACTAATAAGCAAAGAAGTAAATAGAATCACGTACATGAAACAATTTATTTTTTTTAGAACAGAACGGCATCTCCAAGCTTCCTGCTGTATTTTGCTGCCCCTGGAGGCTGCTTCTCAGTTTAGTTCCCATTTTTAGAAACTAAACACAGCAGGGTCCAGTGGGATCCAGCTGCCCTCTCAACTCTTCTGCAGAAAGAGAAGTCCTGCGCCTTAACTTCTGCAGGGCTATTTGGATCCTTTCTACTTTATATTAAAGAAATATGAGGAGGAGTGACTGTAGAAATAGACACCTATTTCACACTTACAACTTTTTGCTCCAGCTGGCTTAATTATGTTCAGATTGCAAATATAGTACTGCACTCCATCGTCCATAGGTCTGTACTTCTCTTTAAATCACACATGTGACGTAATACATACAGAAAGTTGCCAACTTCCAGTAAATAAAAAGGTGCAATCATTGTTATTGACTACAGAAAAAGCCTTAAATATGCACGCATTTACTTTGCTGAAACATCACTCATGG